TGGTTGTCTGAGAGTCCATGGGACCAGTATCTTCCATAATCAGTGCTCCTTTTGACCCCTTTGGCCTTTTGTTCCAAGTCGGCTTGGAGTTCTAGGACCCCAGATGCAGTATTCCAGAACCCAGCTCCTCCATCTGTTCCTGTGTGTGGGTCCCTTGTCCTAATTAGCTTTTGTCAATTTTACACAGCGTTAAGTCATCTGAGAAACTTCCTGTGGGTATATCTATGTTGAAACGTCTTGACGATTAGTCGATGTTGGAGGGCCTATACCACTGTGGGCAGCACCACGCTCTGTGCAGGTGGCCCTGGGCTATCTAGGAAGCCAGCTAAGTGTAAGCCTGTGGGAGAGTGAGCCACTAAGCAGGGTTCCTCTGTCCTTTCTACTTCAAGTTCCTGCTCGAGTTCTTGCCCTAACTTCCCACGATAATGACTGTGACCTATACGCTGTAAGAAACCCTGTCCTCACCTAACTCACCTGTGGTCAGTGTTGTATCACAACAACAGAAGGGGAATGAGAACATTCTTTCTTCCCCATGTTTGTACAAAGCGCTGGGTCCTAGACCAGTGTCCCCAACCCAGCTGCTCCTTCTGTTTCTACTGCACCCTTGTCCTCTTCCCAGAGCTCCGGGACCCCAGAACCCTGTCCAGTACCCTGAGTTCATCTGCCCCTGGTTCTCCTGAGAATGTGTAAGGACAGAAGTGACGTCATGTTGACACTGCACTGATATCGTCTCTGACCATCACACGCCTTTATTTTTGTTTGCCTCAGACAAAGAGGGTCCTAGGACTCCATCTACTCTCCCTCCAAACCACACAGGGCTGGGCCAGTCTTCAGCTACTTGATTGCCCATGTAGCGCTCAGTCAGGCGCCTCATGTGCTCTGGCTCAGGACAGGAAGCTACCCACCACTAGCCTTTTGAAAGACTTACCACCTCCCTGCTGATTTTCTTACAACACCGCCCACAGAATTTCATGTGCCTCCAGTTGTCCTTGAACTCACTACGGAGCTGAGGGTGACTTTGAACTTCTGGTCCTGTAGCCTTCACCTCCAAGTGCTAGGATTACAGTTACAGGTCGCCATACCCTGCCCAAATTGCCGTTTGTTTCCTCTTTTGCCATGTGCATTTCATTCTTCATGGGGACGTGTATGAGGCAGTGACTTTCCTATCACAGAACCCAGGTCCAAAGAAGCAGGAGCTTGGGGGCTGGAGAGATGGCTCAAAGGTTTAGAGCTCAGAGGTCCCGAGTTCAATTCCCAGCAACCACATGGTGACTCACAACCATCTGTAATGAGAACTGGTGCCCTCTTCTGGCCTGCAGGCAGAACATTATGTACATAATAAATAAATAAATCTTATTTAAAGAAGAAGAAGAAGAAGAAGAAGAAGAAGAAGAAGAAGAAGGGGCTTTGTTTATGCCTCTGTGTAATGCCACGGTCCCCAAGGGAATCTTCAGGGAAGGACAACCCAGGCCTCACAGTGGGAGTGGCCTGCTGATCTTCACCACTTCCTGGGTTGGGCTAGCACTTGCCTAGTGGAGGGTGGAGATTGAGGATGGCTCTGGTGTAGAGTTCTAGTAGCTACTGTGGTAGGGCTTTCTGAGGAGGCCTTTGCAGAAAGTCACACCGCATGGCTTGGTGAGGGTACCTGCCAAAGCTCCAGTGAAGCCCACTGACTGGAGGAGACCTCTGCAGGGATGTGAGGTAACCATGGTAACCATGGGAGCTCTTCCACCTAGAGGAGCTCTTATTCTTGCCCTGCCTGGACTTGTGGTACAGTCCCAGGGGGCCGGCAGCTACAGAGACCAGGGGTCTCCCCATTTGCTCGCTGCCAGACTGAGAGGAGGGACCAGCTGTGCTAGGCACTGAAAACTCTGAGATGCAGCATTCAAATCTGTCTTTCCTAGGGCAGGCCCCACAGGACCTGGGCCAGTGATTGTTTATCAGAGACAGGGCCCTAAGAGGAAGGGCTAAGAGATAAGAAGATAAAGATGTTAGGAAAAAGCTGGGGTCAGAAAATCTTGTACAAGCTGAGGACTTAATACAGCATTAGCCAGGCGGTGGTGGCACCCAGGGAGGCAGGGGCAGGCGGATCTCTGAGTTCGAGGCCAGCCTGGTCTACAGAGTGAGTTCCAGGACAGCCAAGGTTACACAGTGAAACCCTGTCTCCAAAAACCAAAAAGAAAAAAAAGGAAAAGCAAAAAGAAGTACAGAGTCTCATAACAGGTTTTTTTGTTTGTTTTTTTGTTTTTCGAGCCAGGATTTCTCTATAGCTTTAGAGCCCGTCCTGGAACTAGCTCTTGTAGACCAGGCTGGCCTTGAACATCAGGGCCTCAGGGAAAACCTTAGACAGGTCTAGGTCCTGACACCCACGATCTGCTACAGTTACACAAAAGGAAACCGAAGCAGAAAGAACTAGACGGGCTTTGCTCTTTTGGGTTTCTATGACTCTGTTCTCACTAAAGCCCACAGAGCAAGCCAGGCAGGGCTTCCTTGTGCTGATACCCACACAGAGACTGGCAGGAATTCAGTGCCAGGCTCTGCTCACCTGGACCTGGGCCTTCACTTGTCTGCCTTCCAAGCTCACACCACTGTCCATTGTCTGGAGTCCTCTGTGGGGCAGAGGGGGCCCAGGTGGAGATGGCTGCTCTCAACAGCTCTCAGTTCTGAGGGCTCAGCACCGGGAACAAAGCTACCCTGGCCACCACCCACTTCCTGTGGCCAAGGTCAGGACAGGGTATGTGGTCTGTGGGTTGGTCCTCTAACCAAGTTGAACACACACACTCTGTGTGTGTGTGTGTGTATGTATGTGCATGTGTATGAGTGTGAGTGTATGCAGAGGTATAATGAGACTCTCAGCCCTATACCCTGCTGCTGCTTGGAACTTCAGTTTCCCCATTTGGAAAACTAAGTTTGAATACTGACTTGTCACGGCTGTTTGCAGGGGGATATCTGTGGGGGCCTCTCCCCAAAGCATCATGTCTGTACCCTAGAAGGTCTCTTCTCCACTCTCCATCCATGTCAGCCATGGCCTCAGAAAGGGGACTTTGCTGAGGCTGACTGTATTGGAGTGCCTGCATGCAGATCTCAGGGACACGTGCCAGGTCCCAGGTTAGCCAAGGGAGTTCAAGGAACTCTGGGGTCTAGGATGCAGAAGCAGGATCAAATATAGCTGCCTCAGCTTGAGCTGGGTGTCCCGGGACTGGGAGACACAGAAACATTCAGAGCTGGGATAGGTCCCATGTAGCTTGAAGTTCGCTCCCAACCTTGCTATAGTCTGCTAAACTCAGAAAGCCAGGGAGGAAGTCTTGCTTTTCCTTAAGTGGGGCAGAGTGGGCTTTCATTTAACAACTCTGGATCCTGGAGGCAATCTTCCTGAGGTCACAGGTCACTTTTAGAAGGGTCAGAAATGAGGCTACATGGGGCCCCAAAATGGGGTGGCCCTAGAGACTTTATCACAGACTTCAGCATGGATGCTGGTCTTCAGGGAACAAAGGTGATGTCAAGGACCCTGAGCTGGTGTGTCTAGTACTCTGAGGCCATACAGGGCACTAAAAGCCATCCTCAAAGCACCGACCTGACAACACTGTCCCCCACCCTCACTCGGGCTCCTCAGAGGCTTCAGCCTTGCCCTGCAGAGAAGCTGGTCATGGCTTGGGAAGGCATGTTGATTTTTGTTTCTGACAACACGGGCCCTGGTCACATATCTCTTCCTGCCTGCCCCACAGATCCTCGTGTCTTAGGAACTCAGATACAGGGGCCACCTGACCCAGAACATCACAGGTCCCAGGGGCTGAGTCCTGACCTCTCTGGGTCCTTCCAGGGAAAGGAGAGTGACAGTTAGGATCTAGGAGAATGACAATCCTGTCAGTACCCAGCTGTAAGGAAGGAAGTCACATCCCAGGCTGCTTAGCATGCCTAGTCCCCAGCTGGGCTCTCTGTTAGTTCAAGGCCATCAGGATCGTTGATTATAAGCAGGATAGGGTGCTGTGGTCCAGAAACATGGCGGCAGGTGGACAGCAGTTGGGTAGTCTATGCTGTGGATGAGCTCTGTGAAGCCTATTCTCCACTGCCAGGGACAGGGATTCCAATAGGGTCCCCAGTTCTAGCTCCTCCAGGGCAAGACTAAAATCAAGGTTCCAAGGAGTGTCTGAGACAACCAGAGACAGGCAGTCTCTGTGAGTCAGCTCAACCCTGCCTCACAAGTACTCCAAGTGCATGGCTCTACCTGGGCCCAGTTCTGTTGTCTGGGTCAAGCAGGTCTGTGGGCTAAGCTCACTGTGGCCTTGGAATACACAGGTATTACAGGCCTGCCCTGGGCAGTGTAAGCCGCTGCACTTGTATAGCGGGGATGGGGCTGTGGGTGGCATGTCTCTCTCTCTCTCTCTCTCTCTCTCTCTCTCTCTCTCTCTCTCCTCCTTCATCTTCTTCCTCCCTCCCTCCTCTGTAAGTATGTGTGTGTGTGTGTGCATGCCCACCTCCCTCGCTCCTCTGTAAGTATGTGTGTGTGTGTGCATGCCCACCTCCCTCCCTCCTCTGTAAGTATGTGTGTGTGTGTGCATGCCCACCTCCCTCCCTCCTCTGTAAGTATGTGTGTGTGTGTGCATGCCCACCTCCCTCCCTCCTCCTCTGTGTGTGTGTGTGCATGCCCACCTCCCTCCCTCCTCCTCTGTGTGTGTGTGTGCATGCCCACCTCCCTCCCTCCTCCTCTCTGTATGTGTGTGTGTGTGTGTGTGTGTGCATGCTTACACATGCGCATGCATGCCCATGGTATCCCCACAGAGGTTGGCTGCCTGCTATTCTAGGTACCTGGACACCTGAGCCAGTATTCAGGCCTCCACATCCCTCCCTGTGGTAACTGAGTGGACTCGTCCCCATGGGCCGTGAGAGCTATCTGTGCTGGCCTTCATGGTTCTCACACCCTGTGGCAGCAGGACAAGAGGCCAGCAAGAAAGAAGACCTCAGGTGATCAGCCTGAAGTCACTTAGTCCTTCTCTCCACAGGACATGCTGGGCCCACACTTACTGCTGCTGGCCTTAGCTGGACTGCTCTTCCTGGAATCTGGTGAGTTCTGTGGAGTTGTCCCTACATTCCCATACAACAGGCCCACCTCATGTCCCCTTGAGCATAAGGAAGGGCCCTCCTCAGGAATGGATGGCTTTGGTTCCCATATAACAGGAGGTGGAGTCTGAGTGCTACTCAGAATTGCTACTCCAGAGCGCTGCTCTGAATCCCATTAGGGTGACTCAGGAGCCCTTCCCAGACCACATAAGACCATAGACACTAGCCCGCACCCTCCCCAGAGACCCCCACTCTTGAGGGCAACCAGCATGGGTGCAGGGCCCTTATCCAGCCTGTCTGTCTCCCCAGTCACATCCCAGGAGTGTACCAAGTACAAAGTCAGCAACTGTCGGGACTGTGTCCAGTCGGCGCCTGGCTGTGCGTGGTGCCAGAAGCTGGTAAGAGTGGTGTGGGTATTCTGACAGAGTCTAAGCTGCCCTTGCCACCCCCTCTACGTCTCTTAAGCTGGAGACACTAGGGCGATCTCCTTAGGACATAGCAGGGATGACTCAATATAGAAGCTTCTAGAAGGGAGATGAATGTACTGTGGTCACCCAAGCTGACCCAGGTACATAGGGGAGGACAGTCCAGCTTCACAATATGAACAAAGAGCAGAAGGAGATGAAGGCCCACAGTCAAGCATGGTGGGAACGTCTCGCCTTGAATGACGGACCCTCAACTCAGCTGCCCCCCCATAGAGGGCTCGCCCATGGGACTAAACCTTTATCATACCCTCCTCACAGGGTCCCCACGCTGCTGACCCCACAGGGCAACCCACACATTACTCTTTCTCCTCAGTCACATGATCCTGTCTAGTGGAAGCTACAGACAGGCAGCTCCTGTCCCTTCTTTTTCGCAGGTCTTTGAGAATAAGGTATTTGCTTTTAAAAAAACCACTGAGTGTATTTTTATAAAAACATACTGCTGTAGTTATTCTTCTGTTGCTGTTATAAAAACACCCGACAAAAGCAACTGGAGGAAGCGTTTGTTTTGCCTCACGGCTAGAGAGGACAGTCTGTTATGGTGAGGAAGTCGAGGCAGTGGGGGTGTGGGTGTGGGCCAGCTGATCACATCCCATCCACAGTCAGGAAGCCAAGTGATGAATGCGCATGCTCAACTCCCTTCCTCCTCTCTCTTCAGCCCAGGACCCAAACCCATGGGTCAATGCCACCCACACTGGGCAGGTTATCCCACTTCAAAGAACATAGTCACCACAGTCCCTCACAGTGTGCCTGGAGCCTTGCCTGTTGGGAGATTCCAAATCCTGTCAAGCTGATGATCAACACGAACAATCGCATGTCCATGTTCACGTTTGATCTTGTTACCAAACTCAGGAGACCCCTATCAACCCATGGGCAGGCCATATGCAAATCTTGCCAGTTTTCATTTTTTTCCTGACTGCTGTTATCTGTGGACACAGGATGTCATTTTACTCTCCTTGTATCCAGAACATTCCCAGCTTTCTGCATCTTTACACGCCTGTCCTGTTTAGAATGAGTGGAGCCACCAGTGTAGAATGTCCCTTGGTGCCCCCAGCCCAGCACATCCTCTGGTGTACACTGAAGACACACGACAGTGACTCATCCTTTGCGCCCTACCTGAGGCACACGCGGTGCCCTCATCAGTGTGCCCTACGTCCCTGCACAAGTGATGCTTCTTAAGGTGGCACCTGCCAGGCTTCTCCTCACTTCTTGTGTCCCCTCACAGTGAGTGACAGGCTTATCTGTGAGGTGCTATCAGGTTGATAGGATTCTGTCCCAACTAAACTAAGTCTGTGACCTTGTAGGCTGTCCACTGGCGACTCAGGCAAACTCCATTACCACTGTTGTGACTGAAAGATGGTTCTCTCTCTCTCTCTCTCTCTCTCTCTCCTCTCATCTCCCACCCCCTCCCCCACTCTCTCTCCCCAGCCCCCATTGATGGACCTGCAGCTCTTTATTCTGTTCATAGATTATGACTATTATTTTTCCAGTTTGATGTTCAAGCTATCCATGTCAGGCCCCTCTAAGCTGCTCTCGGTGTCATTCACATGACTATTTTGTGATTGTTGTTGTTGTTGTTTGGTCATTTTTGTCTTGTTCTGAGAACTTTTATACTCTGGACTCATGAGCTCTGCCAACTCTACTCTGACCTCCCCTCCCCTGGCCCAAGAGTTAGAGTTACAGAAGACTCCTAGGCCTTAGTGAGAAGTGGGCTCCCAGCATTCTCTGCGACTTTCCTCACCCTCTCCATCCCAGAAGGCTTTTGACTTCTGTCTCCAGCAATCATGTCCACCAAAGGCAGCTCCAGAGCAGAGGCCTGGCGTTGCAACCTCTATCCAGTGACTGAGGGAGGCAGTGAGAGTCTGGACAAGCCATTCTCACAGGGGCTGGCTTTTCTCTCCTTCTCTTGAGCCATTTTATTAGTCTGAAATGAACAGTCAGGCCGCTTTTTCTACGCGGATTACAAGTTTGCTTCTCTTCCCTCTATTCTTGCTGATCATCTATGCTTCTTGAGGCCTTGAGACGTGGCTCTGAAAGCCTGCACGGAGCAGAGGCACTTGGAAGGTGGCGTCTACAGCATTTCTGTGTTGTTCTTCTGGCTTTACCATCTGTGAGCAAACAGGCACTCCCAGTGTTTTATGGTGCTTTGGAGTTGAGCCAGACCCACTTTGGGCACAACAGGCTCCAGTAGAGGACCAAGAACAACCAAATATTTCCTTGTCAAATCCAGGGGGCTTTTGAAGGGACACAGTGGTCAAGATGAAGGAGCCCCAGGCTCTCCACTCCCCTCACCAACTCGTTTCCCCAAGCTCTGCCATGAGTCTCAGCAAGGGCTGTCACATTGGCTAAAGAGATCACCTGCGTTCCGTTGGGAGGCAGCAGCTCCCTGGGCAAAGGCCCTGCTGAAGGGCTAGAGAGTTCTGGCCAGCATTTGATCTTGAGGTAGAGAACCCCAAGTCTTTGCTGATGGATTCAGTGTCCGAAAGACAGAGAAAAGTCTATAGTCTATGCTTCTGGAACTCTCCGGAAGACATGGAGCTGTCCGGGTGACCTAGGCTGTCTGGGAGTCTGCTTTTCCCTAGATGACTGCCCCATCCCACAAGGATCTCTAACTGAAGTTTTGAGGGCAGGTTAGGAGGAAAGGGGGCCGGACCCCACGGTTCCAGCACTGTGCCTTCTGCCTGACCCCTCCTCTAGAACTTCACTGGGCCAGGGGAGCCTGACTCCTTGCGCTGTGACACACGGGAACAACTGCGGCAGAAGGGCTGTCCAGCCGATGACATCATGGAACCCAGGAGCCTTGCTGAGCCACATTACGACCCACCAGGGGAACGGAAGCAGCTCTTTCCACAGAAAGTGACGCTTTACTTGCGACCAGGTAGGTTTGGACTCGGCTGGGATGGGCTGGGTGTACAAGGAAGGCATTCAGGAGGGCAGCCTGTGCAACCTGTCAGGGCTGACAGCTGGGACGTGTCCCTGGGTTGGACAGTGAACTGAGCTGGTTAATGAGCCTCTCATGACGGATGTCTGCGCTCTAGAGCTAGTGAAAGGGTTCCACGCATGAAAGTGCTTGCCACCAAGCCTGGTGACCTGAGTTCAAGTCCCCGGGACCCAAAGGGTGAAAAGAGAAAACCAACTCCTGCAAGTAGTTATGGGACCTCCATATGCAGAACGTGGTGCGTACAAGCCACCCTCCCATAAATAAACAAAACTGTAACTTTTTAAAAAGTTACTTCAGCTGGACTGTGGTGGTGCATGCCTTTAATCCCAGCACTTGGGAGGTTGAGGCAGCGGATCTCTGTGAGTTCGAGACCAGCCTGATCTACAGAGCAAGCTCTAGGACAGCCAAGGTTACACTAAGAAACCCTTTCTCAAAAATCAAATCCCTGGGGGCTGGAGAGATGGCTCAGTGGTTAAGAGCATTGCCTGCTCTTCCAAAGGTCCTGAGTTCAATTCCCAGCAACCACATGGTGGCTCATAACCATCTGTAAAGAGGCCCTCTTCTGGCCTTCAGGCATACAGACAGAATATTGTATACATAATAAATAAATAAATTAAAAAATAAATTAAAAAAAATAAAATTCCTGGGTGGATTCCCTCAAACCCACTGTCTGCTTTGTGTGTCTGGATCCTCTCTTAGCAGTGTGCTCTGTGCCTCGTTGAAAAGGGGAAGCAAACTGTTCCGAAATCAGCATGCATTTCCACTCTCAAAGGCTCAGACACTCTTGGCACAGTGAGTGCACTGATTAAGTCCGATAGCCCAGGATGCAGAACTGCTTACTTAACTCAGGCTTGCCCCAGGCAGGCTTGGCTGGGTCAGACGCAGTGAAGTGAGCAAGGCTGGGACAAGAGGCATGCTGTGGGCAGACTCAATGTCACAAGGGGACCATCAGATTGCCCTGAGAGCCTCTGGATGGGGACCCCAGAGGCTCGTCCTGGTTTCATTTCTGTTGCTGTGATAAAACACCTTGACTAAAGGCAACTTAGTGGGAAAGAGGGTTGTTTTCAGCTCACGGTTTACTGTTTCAGGGAAGACTAGGCAGCAGAAACTTGAAGCTCACGTAACATCCACAGCCAAGAAGGGAGAGAAATGACGGCATGCTTAGCGCTAGGCTCACTTCCTCTGCTTTTAACGAGACCAGGGCCCCAAACCGGGGAATTTTACCACCCACCCAGGCTGGGTCTTCTTGCATCAATGAAGTCAGTCCACCATTATTGCCCAAGATACACCCACGTGCCAACCTGATCTTCACAGTCCTTCAGTGGGATTCTTCCCACGTGATTTTACTCTGTGCCCAGGCTAAGCGGTGCCAGGATCTAATTGGTGTCTGATGGGCAGATTGTCAGGACGGGGTAGCGAGGAAGTAGAGCATGAAAGGGGGCAGGGAGGTGGCTTTGGGGGGGGTCAGCCTGGGGACATCAGAGGACAGAGCTTGTCCCATGAGCTCTTGTGAGTTGACACAAGGCCTTCTGCTCTGGGACCTCTGACCCTGCCCCTGTCCTTCTGACCCCTGAAGGGCAGTTCTGGCATGCTCACCTTCCTGAGCCAGGAAGTCCTAGCTGGCACAGGTGCAGCCCCTCCTAGTGGGAAGAGAGGGTGGCTCTCTTGACCTTCCTTGTAAAAATGTTAATGGTTGGTTGGGTTTCACCCTGCTGGTCTGAATGTTAGCACCACAGTCTGGATGCTTAGGCTTCCAACTCATGGATTTGCACGGCACACACTCTCTGCACACAGGCATTCTTGTACTTGGAGTGAGCCCACTTAACTGAACCCAAATCTGCCCATCCTGTGTCCTGGCCCCAGGCCCTGCCAGGTCATAATAAAGGGGAGGCAATAGGAATTTAGGGACTAGGTGAGGGCTGACAGCCAGGCTCAAAGTGTCCCTTGCTCTCTTCTGACAGGGCAGGCAGCTGCATTCAACGTGACTTTCCGGCGGGCCAAGGGCTACCCCATTGATCTGTACTACCTCATGGATCTCTCCTACTCCATGCTAGACGACCTCAACAATGTCAAGAAGTTGGGCGGTGACCTGCTGCGGGCCCTCAATGAGATCACTGAGTCTGGCCGCATCGGTGAGGCCCACAGTGCAGACATGCATCTCAACCTTGGGAACCCCCTGCTGCTGCACAGAAGCTGGGGAGCTGCATATGCAGTGCTCATGGGGCCAGACTCAGCCCTGCATCTCTACCACAGCCACGTCTGGTCACAGGCTGCTAAGACCCGTGGACTCCTCCAACCTTTCTCTCTCTCCTTTATATTTTGATGTTTAAAAGACAACGGTCCTGCAGTGCTGATTTCTGAAAAGTGTGTCTGTCTTACAGTGACCACACCATCAATAGAGTAGTGGAAGCAAACTTCAGGGCAAGGGTCAAAGGGTGAAGGTTGCAGCACTGCCTAGCACCAGCATGTTCACCAAGCACTTGGGACAAGAGAACAGCACTTTGGCCTCATTGTCTATGTATCAGGATGCCCACACGCACACCTGAACGCAGGATGCTAGCAAGCTTCTATAGTGTTGTGTGCTCACACACTTACACATGTCCAGGATCCCATACACAAACACATTTGCATGCCTGTGTCTGTAGGCCTGCATACACAAGACCCGTGTATATATCTACATGTACTCACACGCAAACACTCATGATCACACATGTATATGACCACATATCTGTACATACTCTGTCACACACACTCATGTTTGTACATGACTTCACATGTTCTCATCTACACATGACTACACACATGCTTGCACCACAGGTTCATCCACACATGCTCCCAAAACCATCACCTTGCTTTCTTCCTTGTTTGGGAAACTGAGACTTGACCCTTACCCCACTGGGAAGTTCACTGACCTGCCTGGAGCCCTGCCTGCTGCCTCGTCCCCATGCCTCCAGCCTCATGCTGTATATTCTCCAGGTTTCAGGTCCTCCCTGTCCTGCCTAAGGGTCTGTCTTCTGTCTCTGTCCCCCCGCCTCATGAAATGTACCCCTCAGGCTTTGGGTCCTTCGTGGACAAGACAGTGCTGCCCTTTGTCAACACACATCCGGAGAAACTGAAGAACCCATGTCCCAACAAGGAGAAGGCCTGCCAGCCCCCGTTTGCCTTTCGGCACGTGCTCAAGCTAACCGACAACTCCAACCAGTTTCAGACAGAGGTCGGCAAGCAATTGATTTCCGGAAACCTGGACGCCCCTGAGGGTGGACTGGATGCCATAATGCAAGTCGCTGCATGCCCGGTGAGGTCACTGTCCCTGGTCAGCTCTCCCAATTTCCTCAAACGCAGGAGCTCCACCAGTGTTGTGGGGCCACTCGCTCTGGTTAAAGGACCTCTTCAGGGACTCACCCCATCTGGCCCCATGTTGTCACCCTGGATCTTGGAAGGGCAACCTCCATGCCCCAGGTCCCTCCCAGCCTCCCATCAGAGAGCAAAGGCAGAGTTGCAACATAGCCCTGAAAAACACATTTCAGCCTTAACTGATAACCCTCAAGCTCCCCTGAGAGCCAGGCTGCCCAGCAGCGGGTCTTCAGAGTGAGGACTGTGCTTAGTTAGCTCCATGTCTCCTCATCTACACTCCGGCCTGTCAATTCCAGACTGTGCTTATAATGTCATCTGCAGCAAGCCAATCCCGCCCCAGCCTGGCTCTCAGTTCTCCAGCCTTGTTGGGCTCACGCTGTGGGCACACACATTCTACATGTGTGTTGGACCATGGGACAAAGCCTGGGTGGGTGCTGCATATGTGTGCTCCTTCCCTTCTTCCAGACACTCAGCTCCCCTATGAACATCCCTTGATCCCCTCTTTAGTGGTTGGGAGATGTTTCCTTTTAGTGGACGCTGCTATGTATCTTTCTCCTTCACAATTGTCACTGGGGTCCAGTTCCAGGTCTGAAGAATGTTTATCTCTTTAGATTCAGGTGTATTTCAGCTCTCACCTCACAGTCCTGCAGGGCATGCTGGGAACTGTTGGCTTAGGCACTTCCTGGGTACTAGATGGGATCTCTATCTATCTATCTATCTATCTATCTATCTATCTATCTATCTCTATCTCTGTCTGTCTCTGTCTGTCTCTTTCTCTCTCTCCCCCACCCTGTCTCTCTATCAGGCCTAGCAGGGAAACTAAGGCAGGTAACCTCTGGCTGCCTTCTTCCTCAGGAGGAAATTGGCTGGCGCAATGTCACGAGGCTCCTGGTGTTTGCCACAGATGATGGCTTCCACTTTGCTGGTGATGGGAAGCTTGGCGCCATCCTGACGCCCAATGACGGCCGCTGCCACCTGGAAGAGAACATGTACAAGAGGAGCAATGAGTTCGTGAGTACTCTGCCTGCCTAGGCCCATCCCAGCGCCAAGACTGGCTAGAGGCCATTCAGGAATGATGAGAGGACAAGATGAAAGCAGGGCCACATGCCTAGATCACCCCAGCAGAACCCAGACTCTTCCTAACACAAATAGCAAATCACAGAGCAGTTCCCAGAGACCCTGGTGACCTAATGAGATTCCTGGCGCTCACATCGGCCTGCAAAGCAATCCTGGCCCTGGTCCTCACGGCAGAGACCCTGACACAGCACCCCACCCCAATCCATCTCACTGCCTCTGTGCATGCCTGCTCTGCCCGTAATGACCCTGTCCGAGCTCCAGGTCCCATCTCTGAATACTCATTGCCTTTCCTAAAGTACCGTGAAGAATTTTTGCACCCCTGTACTGCAGTGACCACCTGAAACACACTGATGTGGAGTTGCTGGCAGATAGAATCTGGGGGTACTGACCCCACGCAGGAGCAGGGGTATCTTTTTTTTTTATTTTTTTTATTTTCGAGACAGGTTTCTCTGTAGTTTTTGGTGCCTGTTCTGGAACTAGCTCTTGTAGACCAGGCTGGCCTCGAACTCACAGAGATCCACCTGCCTCTGCCTCCCGAGTGCTGGGATTAAAGGCGTGTGCCACCACCGCCCGGCAGGAGCATGGGTATCTTATGTCCATTTGCCACACCCCTAAAGTTGAATATCATGCCCATTTGCTGTACATCATGGTGGTAAGGAGTGGGGTCTAAAATCTAACCCTAGTGGGAACCCAGGGACTTTCCTGGTGCCTACACAGCAGCTCCTCAGGATGCTGCCTGCATTCCGGCTGCCTTAGCACCCAGAGTGCTAACTCCCAGGAGTGTTGCTTACCTGACATTGACTAAGAGAATTATCACAATAGTCAGGGTTCTCTTCTTATATTTCAAAAGAGTTGGTTTTTTGTCAATCCTGTCACACCAAGTAAGGCCTGCCCTGAGCAAGTGGCATTGCCCTGTCAGCATGGACTCTTGCTCTCCCAAGGTGTCCCAGAAGACTTGTCTGACAAGATGTCCCCTTTCTCCAGGACTACCCATCGGTGGGCCAGCTGGCGCACAAGCTTTCCGAGAGCAACATCCAGCCTATCTTCGCGGTAACCAAGAAGATGGTGAAAACCTATGAGGTAAGCAGAGCCTTGTGCAATGTGGGCAACAGGCCCCCTCAGCTGTGAGTGACAAGCCAGGCCCTGCCCAATATTGCCTCAGTTCTGCTTTCCGTGTTGGGCTGTGGGTGGTCAGCCTGGCCACTGGCCACAGTTTTCTGGGTGTGAGCATCCTGGTGGAGGAAGCTGAGGCCGCCACTGGGCTACACAGTGTCCATGTCTTGAAATTCAATTCCGCAGCGCTGCTCGCTCTTTTTGTCTCTTCTGAAACAAATTAGCCTGGAACTGCTTCTCTCTCCTTCCCCCTCCTCCCCTCTCTCTTTAGCTCAAAGAGAAGTCCCCTTTGAATAATCAACATTCAGATGGAGCTAAAGTCACAAGTTGGGACCCCTTCTTCCTCCATGTGTTGATTAGCAACAAGCCTCCCCAAAGCACCTCAACAAACAGAAGCCAAAACCAAAGCAAACAGGATCTTGGGTTTGCCACTGGCTTTGAAACAGTTGCTCCATCCTCCTGGGGAGGACGCAGCCACCCTTGCTCCTTGTAGAGGCAGGCCTGAGGACGCCAAGGCTTTGCATCCAGAGAACTCTCTCTGGTAGCCTCCAGAGGAAGGCAAAGTCCCACTCTTGTTGTCAGGAGACCCTTCAGTTCATACAGCAGGAATGTCACTTCCATCCGTTCATCTCTTAAGACAGTAGTAGTTGGAGCCAAAGGTGTCAGAGCAAGAAGCAGCTGCCAAGTTAGACGGTGTTTCTGATGGTTGGGATGGCTCCCTCTAGCCCCTCAAAATGCTCCTTGAGGTTCATCCTGTGTTTCTCCTGCGGTTGTCACGCCATGTGTGTGTGTCCTGCTTTGGAAAGTCAGCTGAGGAGCTGAGGTAAAATCCTCCAAGGATGCGTTCACACAGCCAGGATTCTCAGGTGTTGTCAGGCTCAGCAGAATTAAACAAAGCCACTAGGCTCCCAGTCGATTTGCCACAGTGTCGGGGTAAAGTCAACAGAGATAAGAAACAGAAAAGGCAAATCTAGGAACAAGATGGGGCTCAAGCTTCCATGGCCCCTCCCCTTTCAGGGTTAATCTCTCAGTTGACCAGGACCCCCAGACCCTCCTGAGAATGGCGGGATCCTTCGAGGGTTGTCCTCTCCTCACTGAGCTGCAGCAGGTCCCCACTCTTACGATGAGTGGCGTGGGTCGCGTTGCAGAAGACACCGTGGAGATGGGGGAGAAATCCGCAGACAGGGAACTTGAGTCCCAAGCCCACCACCAGTTAGGCTTTGATGGTTGAATAAGACAGGGCTCTGTGGAGGAACCGAACGGACAGAATATTGTGCAAGGCGATCCATTAGAATGTCTTGCAACCCATAAGAGCGGAATTGTGCCACCGTAGTTGATTGCCCTCTCAAAAGGCTGAGAGATTGGTAGTTGCCCAGTTAATGAAATTGGATGCCCAGCCTAGTATGGAAGGACTGAAGGGTTCCTGGAAAGTTGCTGCTCTTTGGTCCACTATGGAAGATGCCTTGTTGTGATGCTGGTGAAGGACAGCAGCAGTACAAGGCAGATGCGCTCACTAGCAAGAAGCAAAGGCAGACAGTGACACAGAGCTGGCAGAGGGTGCTGCCCACTCTGCAAGGGGGTCTTCCTCCTTCACTTAGCCCTTCCCGGAAGCATTCTCACAGGCTTATCCAGAGGAATATCTTAGCTGGCTCCAGGTTCAAGCCAGGTGACAATCAAGAATAGGCACAGCAGGGGTCACAGGCCCTCCCAACCCAGGGGTCACGGGCCCTTCCAACCCTCTGTCCCTTAGGTTGATGGTCAAGAATGTAGGGATATGTGAGGATAGTCCACACTGGACCCTCCTCCTGTCCAAGCCTGGTCCCTGTGCCGGCGCAAATGAAGTGGGTTGCAGAGCCCAGAGGCGGTTGATGACTAGGCTATGATGGACTCTTGGAAGGGGCAGACTTCATTCCAGAGACTCCAGGAAGGGTACTGAGCCTGGGTGGCTTGGTCCTCAGCTCCGTGGAGGTGTGGAGGAGGCGAATGACCAGTTGCTGCTCATGAAATATAGCATAGCCATGAGCACTAGGGAAGATGTGAGGAAAATGCAGGATGTCTGTCATTCGAAGGCTCCTCTGGGCAGCAGGCCTGTGCCGCTGCAGCTGCTTGTCACCGGATTAGGTGACAGTCACTATTAAATGAGAACTCTGAAATCCATTGAACTAGTCAGGGCTTACCGCTTTTTGCGATCTCACCACATTGTACTGTTATCTGTGTAGCGTGCTGATGTGGTAGGAATACTGTCCCATGGTGAGGCAGGCATGTTATCACATTGATATTATCAGATGTTATCAGATTGAAGTGTCCACTGGGGACATTCGCACCAAGGAGTGTAACCTCCACTCAGGGCTTTGGAGCTGGCCTTTCTCCCTCCTCTTTCTTTCCTTGTCTCCCTTCCTCCTTCTCCCCCCCCTCCCCCCCACTCTCTCCCTTTCTTTTTGAGGGAAGGTATCTCTACACAATCCTGGCTATCTTGTAGATCAGGCTGGCCTTGAACTCACAGAGTTCCGCCTGCCTCTGCCTCCCACGCCCTGGAATTAAAGGCGTGCGCCACCATCTGGCTTTTGCCCCTTTCTTAGTCCGAATTTGAGATTAAACCTGTGCTAGCAATGCTGTGCTGCTGGCCCACAGCCTCAGCCCTCTCCTCACTTCCTCTTCTGAGACAGTCTGGCTGAGGAACCCCGGCAGGCCCTGAGCTTGTCATCTCCCTACCTCAGCCTCCCAAGTATCTGGAATGAGAGGCCTAGGACACCAGACCAGCCAATAAGAAGCCTAGGACACCAGACCAGCCAATGAGAGGCCTAGGGCACCAGACCAGCCAATGAGAAGCCTAGGACACCAAACCAGCCAATGAGAAGCCTAGGACACCAGACCAGCCAATGAGAAGCCTAGGACACCAGACCAGCCAAGGGCTTGGGCTCCTCAGCTGGGATGAGAGGCTGTGACTCAGGCTGCCGCACACACCAGGCCTGGCTCCTCGGGGTTTGCGCTCAGAATCTGTTATTGGCATTCAGCAGCACACCATTGACTTACGGAAGAATGTCATGTGAACCATGAGCAAGGGAGGCCATGGGCATCCATTACAAGCCTCATGGCTGTGGAGGGGCCTGTAGCACCATGTGCCAGCTTGAGCTTCTTTCTCATCAACAGAAGCTCACAGAGATCATCCCCAAGTCGGCGGTGGGGGAGCTGTCTGATGATTCCAGCAACGTGGTGCAGCTCATCAAGAACGCCTATTACGTGAGTCTCCGGCAGAGCCGGGTGGGCTGGCAAGGCCACCGTGGGTCAGCGGAGGTCACCTTGTCACGTTGGGGTTCCTACTGGGCTCCTCATAGCTTCTGGATGGGAGTGGCAGGGAGAAAAAAAGGGAGCGTAAAGAGAGATGTACCAGCCTCTACCCACGGCTTTGGGTCCTTTTGGGGCATGACTGACCTTCCTAGATCCCGCCTGCTAATTCCTGAAACACCAATGGCAAGCCCTTCTTACTGAGGCTCTTCCCAGCTACCTGACACGGAATAGTGGGGAATGGAGGGCTGGTGAACGCAGAATGATGCCTCTCACAGTGTGGAGATCCCAGAAATCATCACTGTGGCCTTCGGCCTTGAGCCCTGAGATAAAGCGCCTCTTGTTTTTGTTTTAAAGATGTTTTTAAATATTTATTTACAATATTCTGTCTGCCTATATGCCTGCAGGCCAGACGAGGGCACCAGACCTCATTACAGATGGTTGTGAGCCACCATGTGGTTGCTGGGAATTGAACTCAGGACCTTTGGAAGAGCAGGCAATGCTCTTAACCATTGAGCCATCTCTCCAGCCCTAAAACACCTCTTATATGCCAGACCTCAAACTTATTCTGACCCCTCATCCATCATCCTCCTTGATGATTGGCAGTTTGTTTAAGTATATTCAGATTTGCTTCCCTCGGAGGCCCAGTGTCACGGTGAACACCAGTGTGCACTAAACACACCGTCCAGACCCCGACCAGTCACAAAAATCTACTCCCAGTGGCAGGTGTCCCCGAAGTTCTGACCTGCATCCCTGTTGCTGAATGTCTTGAAGGCTGACAGCACCAACCGTGTCGAAGGCCCTTCAATACCACTGTGGGGGGCTGCAGAGCAAAGCCTGGGGCCAGGCTGGGGAACCCTGTTTCCTTCTCCAGCCTTGTGAGTCCCAGAATCCCCAAGCAGGCTCCCGTGCCTAATTGCTGCCCAGTCATGTCTAGCTCTGTCTTTACAGGGATGACTCGGGTGACACCATCATTGCCCACTCACCAAAAGCCACCCGTTCTCCTTCTCCTTCCGTCTGTGTCTTGTGTCTCTCACATCCCCTCAGCAATCTATCGTTCCTCCTCTGCTAACCCTGGGGTTAGACAGTGAAGGGATAGTCCTCACAGGGCTCATGGCCTGTGCCTAGCTGGTCCCCGGCTGGTAGCCTGTCTCAGAGCAAACCCATGGCCGCATTCTGCTGTCCCATCCTGACAGAATCACTGAGCTCCTAGCAGGTGTTTGTGCCATCAGCTGGTGTGCAGGAGAAGTATGAGAAGGGAGATGTCCAGGGGTGCAGGGATGGATGGACAAGTCACCTCTGAGCATGACTGCTCTCTGTCCACAGAAACTTTCCTCCAGGGTCTTCCTAGACCACAGCACCCTCCCCGACACCCTGAAAGTTACCTACGACTCTTTCTGCAGTAATGGAGCATCAAGCATAGGCAAGCCCCGAGGGGACTGTGACGGTGTGCAGATCAACGTCCCGGTGAGCTGGCCTGCTGAGGCACCTGGCATTCCCGCATCAGCATGTTGGAGGGGTCTGGGGAGATCTTGGTGACCCACTCCCAGTGAGAGCTGGGAGGCAAAAGAAGATCACAGGGATAAGCGAGGGAGGAGACCACTGATAACCAGCAGCTTGCCTCTTTTCCCTTTACACACCAGCGAGAAGGCCAGATGTGACATCAGGGAAAGGGTACAGGGAGGGTGCCAGGACATGGTCTCAGCTGCAGGTTCGCACCTATCAATGTAACGAATGCCTGCAAATTTCTAGAGAGGCCCTGGGTAGACTGGCGGGCATGGAACAACAGCGCCCTCTGGGGGCAACTTCTGGACATGCACAACTGGACAAGTATCTGGTTGGGATGCCTGAGAGGCTCAGCAAAAGGGACAAGAGCAGAGCCATTACCCAAGTCACCCACAGTCCTGAACGGAACTCCACCATTCTCTTATAGGTCACCTTCCAGGTAAAGGTCACAGCTTCCGAGTGCATCCAGGAGCAGTCCTTTGTCATCCGAGCACTGGGCTTCACAGATACAGTGACCGTGAAGGTCCTTCCCCAGTGTGAATGCCAGTGCCGGGACCAGAGTCGGGAGCAGGGTCTCTGTGGAGGCAAAGGTTCCATGGAGTGTGGCATCTGCAGGTGAGAAGCGTGCACGTGGCCCATGGTCCATCAGTCCTCGGGGAAGATACCTGCAAATGAGGTGGACTTGGCCAGCCCATAGCATAGTGAGTCGGGCATGCATGGGTCACCCCACAGCCTGCCAGCCCACGAAGCAGGTGTCTGAAGGTGGTATGGTCAGCTCACCCAGGAGGTAGATGGCCTGCAAGTACTCCCACATCCTAGCTCTCTGACCTCAGAGCAATCAGGCTAACAGCATGTAGCTAGAGTATCACTGGACCAGGTGGCTACTCCTGGCAGCCTGGGCCCTAAAGTCACCCTGTGAACACAGGCCTCAGTTCAGGATGCAATCAAGGAGGAAGGGTGCAGTGTGCCTAGCAGAGAGGCTGTAGTTGGAGGCTTGGGTGTCAATCATCCTCTCCCAACTGCTTCCCCAGTTTCTGATCTTTGGGGTGCTCTATCCCACACCCAAGGCCCACACTGCTGTGTACCACCTCCCAGATACTCTATGATAGCGGTGGTTTTGGTGGCCACGCCCTGACCAGTGGCACCTTGCTCTGGTCCTGAGTGTGCAACCCTAGGTGGCTTCTCTTCCAAGCTGAGCTAACTTGACTGGTCAGGAATTCTGCGACTTCCTCCCGTAGGAGGACACAGTGGGATGGGGCAGGGTTGGCTACTGAAGCTCTCATCTCACTGAGCTGTGTACAGAGTCCCCCATGTTCTTCTTTACCTAGCTCAGTGGTGAGGTAGTGCTGCCATGTCCCCACCAGACCCCGTTTCCAAGTCTAGGTTAGCAGGGACAGAAACTGGTTCCTTAGGACAGTCCATGGATACAACGCTCAGGAAGCTCCCAGATGCGCCTGCCAGAGGTGCTGTGCTAGTTAGTGTGTCTGCTGCTGTGAAGAGACACCAGGACCATGTCAGCTCCTACAAAGGAAAACAGTGAATTGGGTGGCTTACAGTTCAGAGATTCGGTCTATTATCATTGTGGCAGGACATGAGGGCATGCTGGAGTAGGAGCTGAGACTTCTACATCTTGACCCATGGGCAACAGGAAGGGATATGTCTCACTGGGCGTGGCTTCAGCATATATGTGTATGTGTGTGTATGTGTATACGTATATGTATATGTATATGTGAGCCATCCAAGCCCTTCTCTACAGTGACACACTTCCTCCATCAAGACGATACCTGCTCCAATAAGGCCACACCTCCTAATAGTGCCACTCCCTTTGGGGGGCATTTTCTTTCAAACCACCACAGGGTATCATGCTTATGGGACAGTCACCTATATGCCCACAGGGACTTCCTTGCCTAGGACATGGCACATGCTCAGGAGACCTTTGGAAGCAGGTGTGGTGTGCCATACATTACAGGTGTTTGGATGAGTTCTGGACCAGGTAGGACAGGAGGTGCTTTCATGCTGAGGGAGGACCTAAGCGCACACCCCTCCCCTATTACACCAGGTGTGAATCCGGCTACATTGGGAAAAACTGTGAGTGCCAGACACAGGGCCGAAGCAGCCAGGAACTGGAAGGAAGCTGCCGGAAGGACAACAGCTCCATCGTGTGTTCAGGGCTGGGGGACTGCATCTGTGGGCAGTGTGTGTGCCACACCAGTGATGTCCCCAACAAAGTGATCTTCGGGCAGTACTGCGAGTGTGACAACGTCAACTGTGAAAGATACGATGGCCAAGTCTGCGGTGGCCCACGTAAGTGCCAGGGGCTACGGGTAGCCATTTGCACAGCTTGTATCAGGACATATTAAGTGGGACATTGGGGACAGACAGGTGGGCCGACTAGCAAGCCTTCCCTGCCTGTTTCTGTGTCTGCAAGGGTCAGCATTGCCCTGGGAAGGCAATGGAGGTGACAGTCCCGTTCTGACCCAAGAGCTTTTCAGATACAACGTGGCGGCCCTGTCTGGCTAAATGGTGGCCATGTTGCTAGAGGTACAGGACAAGAAGACATCCCCGGTCCCTGCGTTTTTGCCCCGATGTCCTTCCATGGTTCTCTGGAGCCATGTGAGGAGGGTTAACTAGAAGTAGTTAACAGTCCTCCTTGCAAGGCGGTATCAGGCTAGGGAGCAGGATGGCTCCCTGTTCCTGGTCAACTGCAGGGCAATGAGTCCCGGTGACCTCGGTTGTTTTCCAGAGAGGGGCTCCTGCTCCTGTGGCCAGTGCAGCTGCAAGGAGGGCTTCGAGGGCTCCGCCTGCCAGTGCCGCAGGTCCACGGAGGGCTGTCTGAATACCCGGCTGGTGGAGTGTAGTGGCCGTGGCCGGTGTCGCTGCAACAGATGCGAGTGTATCGCGGGTTACCAGCCACCGCTGTGTGAGGATTGTCCTGGCTGCCCCTCGCCCTGTAGCGAGCCCAAGCACATGTGAGTGTCCCCATGGCCCATATTGGTCTCACTGTTGGACGACCCGGGAGCCTCCCCCCACCCCCCCGAGACACAACTGTGCCATAGGTCTCAGCAGGGTTCAGCAAACCTGGTGTCTCTGCCACCACCTACCTCTTTGCATGCCTGCAGGAGTCCTGGCTTCACAGGGGATCTAGGCCCCTTCAGTCTTTGAACCAGGTTTCCCTAACCCTTCCAGACCCTCTTAGAAACATATTATTCCCCATCACTCACATGGCACTGAGACCTGAGAGCTTCCCAGACCCTCCGCCTGGGACTGCCTGGTATGCAGACAGCCAGACTCCTTTCACGCTACGTATCAGACACGCCTGCATTTCCTAAATCATTCCTGCCACCTTGTATAGCTCTACAGCATGGTCCAGCCGTGCATCCTCACATACCAGTGTACCCCCCCACACACCTGGGCATCCTGGCACACACGTGTGTTTTCATTATTCACAAAACTTGACGCACCAGTGCACCCTTTTACAGCCATGCATCTCTGCGCACCTATGCACCCCGACGGACCTGTGCGTGCTTGCATATCAACATGCCATGTCACACCTCATGCCCTAACACCCTCTCAACACCCACTCCACCCCACTCCTCCGCAGCTCTTGTGCCGAGTGCCGGAAGTTCGATAAGGGCCCCTTTGAGAAGAACTGTAGTGAGGCGTGTGCCAGTGTGACCCTGCAGCTCACCCCTTTGAAGGGAAAACTCTGCAAGGAGCGGGACTCGGAGGGCTGCTGGATGACCTACACCATGCAGCAGAAGGACGGCAAGGGCATTTACGACATCCACGTGGAGGACAACCGAGGTGAGGCTGAGCGCTGCCTGGGACATGACATGATCCCGTCTAGGTTGAACGCGGTGACAAGAACTCTGACCGCGAGGTCTCTGCAGCGAGAGGACCGCAGAGAAAATGTCCCTCCTCTGCGGATGCAAGTCAGGCCCAGTAGCAGGAGGAGAGCCACCCAGGATACCTGCACAGGGCAGCATTGCGGGACAGGCTGCCCGCCATCCCCTTTTCTTGTCCTACGGCCTCTCTTTCACTCTGCTCTCCTTCCCGGGCCCTACGTGAGAGGAATAGCAGGTGGCATTTCCTGGCGGTGGCTCCAACATGGGTTGGGTGTGATGCCATTTCAGGACCACACTGTCCAGCCAGAGCATCACCCATTTGATGGGACGATCCTGAGAGATGGTGTCTGTTGCTTCCTCAGAAACCCCCACGGAGAGCTGTAGGGCAGTGGAAGTGACCCTCCCAGGCACTGATCCCTCCACTTGTCTCTGGTCTTTGCCAGGCCCAGTCACACATGTGAACTTGGAGATTCTGACCTGGTCTCTAGGTTCATGCTGAAGGGAAGGGGGACACCTTGGCTATACTCCAGACGCACACCCAGCACAGTGTGAGGCTGTAGCCGGCAGTGAGAGGTCGCCCAGGCTTTCCTCATGTTGACCCTTGGCCTGACCTCCTTCTCTGTGAACAAGGGCCAGGCCAAGTGGCCTTTGTGTATCATTTGGAAGCACAGGGCCTGGTCTCATTTCTGGTAGGGGTGAGGCTAAATTCCATCCTCTGTTCGTGAGATGCGCAGAGGGTGAGCCCTCTGTGGCAGGAATAGATAGATATAGAGCACTGACCACCATAGGGAGGGGCTGACATTTTGGGTTGTGTGCTTCCTCCTTAGAATGTGTGGAAGGCCCCAATGTGGCTGCCATCGTAGGGGGCACCGTGTTGCTCGTCGTGCTGATTGGTGTCCTCCTCCTGATCATCTGGAAGGCCCTGACCCACCTGACTGACCTCAGGGAGTACAGGCGCTTTGAGAAGGAGAAGCTCAAGTCCCAGTGGAACAATGTGAGTGGCCTTGCTCAGGGGACCCACATGACACATGCATACTCCCTTTCCTCTTTGACCTCCCACGGGGAGCAATTGGTACATTCTCTATCCCAGCTGAGCGTGGGAGACCCACAGAGAGTGTCTTTCCCACCTCTTACTCTCACTGTGGGACTATGGCTGTCCTGGAGTAATGACACATCCCTTACCCCAGCAGCTTAGCCTGCAGGCTCCCAGTGTTGCGGTGAGCAGGCTTAGCCTGAGCCTCAGGCCCTAGGAAGGCTCCTTGTCTTGGTTGGTTCCTCAGAGTGACCTCTACTGATCTGGCTAGTGGCTTCTTAGAGTCTTGATACACTCCCTGTGCTGACAAGAGCATGTTTGGTTCCTCCCTAGGACAACCCCCTCTTCAAGAGTGCTACCACTACTGTCATGAACCCTAAGTTTGCTGAAAGCTAGGGCGCGAGCTTCCAGGATCAACCACATGCGACTCTGAGACCACGCCTCCTCCCCTCTGCAATCGTGATGTGGCTTACAGCTCACCACAGCACTGCCAAGGATCCAAAGGCCCACTCTGTTTCTCCTCACCTTTTACGACAAAGCTGGAAGGCTTGCCACAAACCCATCCTCTCACGGGCACAGTCTTGTCACCACAGAGCCTTAAGGATGTCCCCAGGTTCCGCACACACTTCCTTATATAAAGGAAGACTGCAGGCCTAGTAAAGGTGGCATGGACTTATTTATATTTAACCTTGTCAGGATATGAAACCACATCCCATTGTTTTATATTAACACCCCAACCATTGTATTATATATGGGTATGAAACTATAGCCCACGTATTATATTGTAATCGTGTGTGTAAAAATAATAAAGCTTCCATCATGCTATCCACAGAATGTGGGCTTTGTGGAGTCCTCCAGGCTCAAGTGGCTGAGCCCCAGGGTGTTTTGTCCCACCTGCCGATGGTTCGTTCACATCCTGAGGGTTCTGGTGGGTTCTGGGCCTTGGAGTGGGAGATTTGGTTCTCTTCTTCCCTACCTGTGGACCTGTATATATGGAGCCCTCCCAGACCCAGTGCTAAATCCTAGATGGCTGCGCAACAGGTGTCAGGTGACAGAAACGGCATCCTCCCCTTTCCTCCTCCCAACTTCTGTCTGTCAGGTTTAGTACAGGAGATAGGGTGGTGGCCAGAACACAACCAGGGTTGGGTAAGAAGTTTCTTTCTTGTGAGCTGTTTTTGGGGGTGACCTGGAAGTCACTGCTGACTCACGTTCTAAATGAGTGAATGGATCCACGTTGTGTTCAGTGATCATGAGTTCCTGGGTCTCCGAGAGTGATGAGCCAACATACTAGGTAGTTTTTCTGGAAATATTTGTTTAGCCTCCTGGTCTAAAGTGGTTCCCTTGCTTAGCCCCATCTCTCACAAGAGCATCCTGTTGGGGGAGTATGCTATGCAAACTGCTTACCTCATGGCAGACTGGTGTGGGAAGTTCTTCTGCATATGTGTTGCTTTTATTGGTTAGTGAATGTTTAATAATGATTAATAAAGAAGCTGCTCTTGGCCAATGGCTTAACAGAATATAGCCAGGCTGGAATAGATAGATACAGAGAAAGAAGATCTAGAGAAAGAAGTTGCAAGAAGCCATGTAGCTCCTCTGAAGACAGATGCTGAATGAAACTTTAACCGGCAAACCACAGCCTCGTGGCAATACACAGATTAATGGAGATGGGTTAGTTTAGGATATGAGAGTTAGCCAGAAATATGCCTAAGCTATTGGCCAAACAGTATTGTAATTAATGCAGATTTCTGTGATTATTTCATGGTCTGGGCAGCCGGGAACAAACAGACGGCTTCCCCCAACAGCAGACAGAAAGCAGAGGTAGAATGTGACCAGTGACAAGCTATCCCAAGGACCAACCCCCAACCTTCCAAATTAGTGCACTCACTAAGCACCAAGGCTCCAATACAGGAGCTTTTGTAGAAGGAAACCTCATACCCAAAGATATCACACAGCCATGTAAATGGCTGCCCAGCTTTTGTGCCCAAGCCTTTGAGTAGGAAGGGTGTGGCCAGAGAAACCCTCAAGGGCTCTCACTCACCTCTGGCACTGACATGGCATAGTGGCAGTAGACTGAGCCATGGGGAGGATGCTATAAGCAAGGGGACAGTGAAACCCCTGTACTGGACCACTCTGTAGGTAGAAAGGTTTATTGGGGACCAAATGGCCAAGGGTCTCTTAGGGGATGGAGCAGTGTTGTTTTCCTGTTGGCTGAACGACTGCCCCAAATCTACTGATATTTTAACTACTACCAGCACCCTGCCACTCAGACCAGGGCCTGGCGGGATTTTCAGCCCCACCGGCACCAGCTTGCCCACCTCATCACTCCCCCCATGTTCAATTCTACATAATCACACAAGAGTGAAGTGTGCAGGGTTGAGTATCAGACTCTTCCCCATGCGAAATGGATTTTCTATTTTTGGTTGTGCGCCTAGCCTTTTACAGCTGAGCCATCTCTCCAACCCAGCGAAATGTACTTTCACATGATATTCTGTTTTCATCTTTCCTTAAGAATGTAATTGTTCGGGCTGGAGAGATGACTCAGAGGTTAAGAGCACTGGTTGCTCTTCCAGAGGTCCTGAGTTCAATTCCCAGCAACCACATGGTGGCTCACAACCATCTGTAATAAGATCTGGTGCCCTGTTTTGGCATGCAGGTGTACATGCATGCAGAATACTATACATAATAAATAAATCTTTTTTTAAAAAGAATATCATTGTTCAAAGTCCAGAAAAAGCTGTTATTGATTAAACAACCTATTCAGTCAAAAAGCAAATGCTGCCTGTCAGGCAGAGTGGATGCCACAGTGGATCTCCTCTGACCCCACCAGAACTCAGCCTGCAAGGGTAGCCTGCATTGTCGTTTATTAGGGCCAGCGTCAAGCACAGCTGCTGGGTCCTCTGTTCTAGCGCCACCTGCTGGTGGTGCTTGCTGTCTACTGTCCCTTGGAAATGTTTGCCGCCATGGCCAGAGGAAGTCCCTTGCCAGTCCCTGGGAGTCTCTTGCCAGTCCCATGGGAGCTGCCCTGGTAGCAGCAGTGAGCCTGGACATTTGTCCCAAGAGGCCTTGAGATTTTCCTGGACAATGACCACTCCTTCGTAGGGAGTCCTACCTCAGTCAAGGCACCAATCCTCCTTTTTGGGGCTTATTGCCTTGCTTCCCACCATGTTGTGAGTATGGGTAGGTGGCCAGTCTTTGCCTTCTCCATTCTACCTGGCGGTTCCCAGCATCTGGCCACCTTTGAGCATCACTTCTTGCCTGAGACTCATCCTATAATGTAGGACTGATTCTAATTGGTCTTAATAAATAAAACTCGGGGTCAGATAGGTGAAAGCTGATGGATCAGCAAAGCAAAGGAGCCAGTAATAGAGTAATAGAGCTTACCTCTGCCAGTGCTCAGACCAAAGGGGCGATCCTGTGCCTACGAATCCTCAGACTGCTGCTGTCTCTACAAAACCTCACGCTGCTTCCGTCTCTATGAATCCTCAGATTGCACTGAGCTCCCGTCTCCTCCGGCCTTATATTCCTCTCTCTACCCAGCCATATCACTCCTGTCTCCACCTTCTTAGCGCTGGGATTAAAGGCATGTGGTCCCAAGTGCTGGGATCACCTTTGTGTGAGCTCTGTTTCTCTTTTAAGCACACAGCCTAGGGTGGCCTTGAACTCACAGAGACCTGTCTGCCTCTGGCTCCCAAGACCTGGGATTAAAGGTGTGTGCCACCACTGCCTGGTGGCTTAGCTCTGCACTCTGATCTTCGGGCAAGCTTTATTTGTAAGATCACAAACAAAGCCGGGCGGTGGTGGCGCACGCCTTTAATCCCAGCACTCGGGAGGCAGAGGCAGGCGGATCTCTGTGAGTTCGAGACCAGCCTGGTCTACAAGAGCTAGTTCCAGGAGAGGCTCCAAAACCACAGAGAAACCCTGTCTCGAAAAACCAAAAAAAAAAAAAAAAAAAAAAAGATCACAAACAAATTATCACTACACCACGGTGCTGTGTGAATGTTAATGTCTCTCCCCACTTCGCCTGTTGGAATTTATTCCAAAGACAATAGTGGTAGGGAGTAGGGTCTTTGAGAGATGAAAGGACCTCAGTGTGAAATTAGAAGTGAGGAAGCTTGTGAGAGACAAGGAGCTGTCTGGCAAGTAGAGCTAATCCTCAGCAGTCACCAGATCCGCTGATGCCTTGATTCCCAGCCTCTGGCACTAGGTTTGTGTCACAGATAAATTGCCCAGCTTTAGGTATTTTGTTAGAGCCAGAGGAACAGACTGAATAAGTGTATTTGAAATCTGCCACGTGTGCTATGTGTTCTCTTTCCTGCCTTCCTGAGCATCACCCAAGGCTGCTCTGCTTTGCATTGCCCTGTTTATTAAGACTGGATTTATTAATTTGGTTTGATCTGGCTTATTGCGTTGGCAGCAAAGGAGCCCAGTAACTAAGGACCTAATACCTAACAGATAGGAAGTTAGTTTTCTGAATTTTGAGGCCTGAGAGGCCCCCATAGCATGAAGCAGGTCCCAAACCAGTGGAGTAAACAACCTCTCACAGGGCCATTAAGACCATCCCGCATTCCAGAGTAACTCGTTCTTCATCCTTGCTAAGTCCAACCGTGGAAAATGGGCTTTGTCCCCAGGCGCGGCCCCTCCCTGGCCCCAGTGATCTGCTGATCTCTGTCTCCCACAGACAGACAGACACACAGACACACAGACACAGACACACACACACACACAGACACACACACACACACACACACACACACACACACACACACACCCCGGCACCTTGCCATCTCCCCTCCAGGAGTTCCAAGTCCCAACCCCTCGAGCAAGCACCCCGATGGAGCCCCTGCTGACAAATGCGCTGTGTGACCCAGGAGGAAGCTCCCACACTTTTCACGCTGTCAGGATGGAATTCTGTGGCTAATTGAGACATGTCCTCACACTGGTGAGAACCCAGTCACTCAGATACTACCAAATAAAACTGAAAATCCCCAGCAGGTGACTCAGGTATCAGAAGCTCTGATGTGTGGCTGTGGAATTCCCATAACCGCTGGGCTGCTCCCCGGTTTTCTGTCTCCCCTGTCATGCTCTTGACTACCCGAAAGTGCTGCATTTAATAAAACATGGGCATTTTAGTTTGGCTTAATTTGACCTGATTGGGTTTCTTTGCACTGGTGGAGCGGCTCACCTTAGGATTGTTCCTAACACATACCCCATGAAAACCAGCGAGCAGTAAACCTGCTCTCCACGTGTCTCTCCTCCGGCGCCCACTTAAAATACCTTGTAGGAGTGTGGCATGCTGGGATTTGGAGTCCAGACCGAGGCAACTCCCAGGCCACGGGGCTGGGCTGGATGCCAGGGGCTGGGCTGAGACTCCCAACTTAACTCTACATTTCAGATTCTTTGGATATAGGGGTGACAGGAAGTTGAGGTGATAATTATGACCAACATTTTAGGCTCTTTTTGGAAAAAGGGGTGTAGACTCAAGTCTGGCTACTTCCTGCAGGTATGGGATGACATGGGAGAGGGGAGAGCTGGAAGTTGGCCCGCTCACGCCCAGCAAAAGGTGTGGTTGGGGCAGCATCTGGTTTGCTGTAGTCCTCAGGCAGCTGCTTTTTGAGGGAGATGCAAAGGCAGGTGGCTAGGAGGAAAAAAATATTATTATTGGCTCTATGAAATGGGACTAGCCATGGGATGGTACACAATAGCAGATGAAACCAGATTTTAGTTGGCAGGTGTCCATGATCCAGAAGACTTTATCCTGCACCAGGTGGAAGTGTTCCCTAGCTTACCAACACACTGGTGACCTTGTCCTTGAGCAAATGTGTCCA